TTTGTGGATATTGTCAGGAATAAAAAAAGGTGTTTACTCATCTTTTAATAAGGATTTTCACGTACCCCCAACAACTCCAACCATTACTTTACTCATCCTAGTATACTATTATGTGTGTTGATTTTAAAATATGCTTGTCACTGTGTTGTAATTACAAAAATTAAAAAGTTACAGGTAAATCATAAATGTCGCTGATACGACCACAATTATGGTTGTGATTAGAGCCGGCAAAACAGGCTCGGCTAGACGGACCAACTCGTTCAACTCGCTAAATGAGGTGGGATGGGCTCAGTTTTTCAACCCATCTCAAAAGTGGGGCAGGCGGAGCGGGTCATTTTTTGAAGAGTTGATGGCGGGCATAGGCAAGCCAAGGCAGGTCAGTGTAATCCAACCCGCCAAACGGGACATGTCGAGCTGAGTTTTTTAGCCCACTTTCAAAAGTGGAGCGGGCAAACTGGCTTATTTTTATCGGTTGATGGCGAGGTGGGGCGGGGCGCCCACTTTGCCACGTCTAATTGTGATATAATTACAAGACTTATAGAATTATTTTTGTATTGGAGTAAAGAATTAGTAAACATTAAGTAGCTCTAAGATACTTTGTAAATCTTCCCAAAGAATACAATTGCAGACACATGTGTAAGCACCCAGTTTTTAATGAGTCCACTTCCTTTTTCATTTTTATTTTGTTTATTTTATTTATGAAAAAATATTTTTGTTTTATCATAGAAAAAGTTTTTATGCCATATCGAATAAATATGAATAATAGGTCTCATTGTAAAAATAAGAAAGAGAAAATATTAATGAGACCTATTCATTTTTAAATGAATGTGGCATAAATTTTTTTGAGTAAATATACTTTTTTGTCCTTAACAAAAAAATATGGTCCCCACTTTAATTCCTTACAAATAAAAATTAGTTTTGAGATTCCTAAGAAATTTAAAGTGGACCCATTTAGTTGAAATCGTGATCGCTCACAAATTCAAAAAAGACCCATATTAGTCCCTCAAAAGGACTAAAATGGGTCCACTTTGAATTTTATAGGAATCAACCGACTAATTTTTTTTGTAAAAGACTAAGATGGGGACCATATTTTTTGTCAGAGACATAAAAAGGTATTTATTCAAAAAAATTTCTACAAAAGTATTAAAACTTTTTTTTATTAGTCGTCTTAAAAAAAATTCTTTAATAAAAATTTTCAAGCAATTAATTTTTTAAAAAAAAAACGGATTCTTAAATTTTTTTTCTCAAACAGAAAAAAAAAAAACTCGAAAGCAATTTTTTTGTCTTCTCCTGCAGTTATTTTCTACTCAATAAAAGAACCCTATCGTGGCATGATTTTTACCCTCTCTCACCAAACACAAAATCTTTCTTTGAAAAAAATTCAAAACCAATAAAACTGGAGGCCACCGACACACTTTTGGACGGCTAGGGGACAATTATAGGATGGGGACATGCATCACTCAATATTTGCAAGTCAAACAAAGTCGGTGGAGGGCCGGGAACCTTCTTTCCTTGGAAAGAAAGGACAGGTTTTGGCCCCAAAAAAAGACGTGTGTAGCACCTAGCTAGCACGGGAGAGGAAACTATTTCAATTCAAGATAGCTCTTTGGAGGATACCAGCTGGAGTGGAGGAATATGGCGGACAGCTCTCCCTCTCGGTATCTCTGTGCAAAATCACTCCCTTCACTCGTCTCCTTTTTTTTTTTCTTTCAACCTATTAATTTGATAGATATTTATAATGTCTTAAATAATTAAATTTAGGGATATTCACAGTATGAATTGAATTGATTTTGAATTAAATTTTTTTTGATCTAATCCGTATTTTTTAATTATTTAATCATCCATTCGGTTTAAATTTTTTTAAATTTGATTCAATCTAATACAATTTTATTCGATTTGGATTAGATCGGTTTTTAATTTTTTGAAAAGCCTAACATTTCAGTTATACAAATCACTAGCTATATCAAAATAAACTCATTCAAAGTTACAAACCATTAAAAATTTTAAGTCTCAAGACTAAAACAAGTCTTAAAACTCATGAAGAGTTAAAATAGATTAATAGACGATAAAAATTAAAACAAAATAGTTTGCTATTAATAACATCCAAAACTACGTATCTACAAAACAACAAGATTTCAAGTCACCTTCTTTCAAAAATAATAAATACATAATACACCGTATCGGTTTTCACTAACAATCTAAAAATTGATACAATCCAGTTAAAATATGAGTGTTTTTTTGGGTTTTTAGTTTTTCTGTCTTCTGTTATCAATTTTTCTGTTTGATTACCACGGTTTGGATCGATTGATAAACATCCTTTATTAAATTATACTAATTAGAAATAAATATCTAATTAGAGGGTTAATCGAGTGAAAATCCTGTATTTTAGGTAAAATCTCTACTAAGGTAAAATATAATTTAACAAAGATTGTTCGATTTTGGGCTAATTCAGTAAAATACACAACATGTAAGCCTATAAAATTTGGGAAACAAATTAGAATGATTCGAATAAATTAATATTTGGGAAAAGTACGATTAACGAAGGATCTGGGTAAAAATATAATTGTGAGAAATTTTAAAATACTGTAGTGACATACTATTAAAATGAAGAATCTAATAGGATATTTTTACTACCAAATAATGTTACTATCAATATTACTATCATATCTTAACCGTGTATTTCTGCCAATCAACAATTATTATTTATTGTGAATTAATATTTAATTAATTAGTTTGATTTGAGAAAATAATAACCGTTGATTGACAGAAATCAACGGTCAAGATATGGTAGTAACATTATTTGGTAGTAACAATATCCTACCCAATGAAAAATGAAATAGGATATTGTTACTACCACTGTTACCACCATATCTTAATCATTGATTTCCGCCAATCAACTGTTATCATTTATTGTGAATTAATAATTAATTAATAAGTTTGATTTGAGAAAATAATAACTGTTTGTTAAGATATGGTAGTGACACTTATAGTAACATTATTTGGTAATAATAATATCTTATCCCAATGGAGAATGAGATAGGATATTGTTATTACCAATATTATCACCATATCTTAACCGTTAATTTTTGTCAATCAATCGTTATCATTTATTGTGAATCAATAATTAATTAATGAGTTTGATTTGAGAAAATAATAACCGTTGATTGAAAAAAATTAACGGTTAAAATATGGTAGTGATATTGATAGTAATATTATTTGGTAGTAATAATATCCTATCCCAGTGAAGAATGAGATAATATATTGTTACTACCAAATAATGTTAGTATCAATATCACTATCATATTTTAACCGTTGATTTCCGCTAATGAACAGTTATTATTTGTTGTAAATTAATAATTAATTAATGAGTTTAATTTGAGAAAATAATAATCATTAATTGACAAAAAAAAAAATCAATGATTATTAATAATAATATCATTTCTAATAACAATATTCTATCTCTACAAGGAAGTTACTCACAATGAAACTCAAATTGTTTCTTTGAAATTTTGACTTGAGAATCCAATGGCCGAGAGTGCTTGACTTGCTTTATCTCTTTCCTCGTGTTTCACCATTTTGTGTTGAAATTTTAGTTGGAAGGTCTCTGCAACTAGCAACGCAACCTCACCTTCTCCTTCACGGTTCATTCATGGCCGAGAGTAAGTCTTTTAATTTTATTTTAAGCATAGGACGAATGGCTCATCTTATTCTTGCGGCAAACGCAAAACCCAATTGTGGAAATTGACATTCAACTTCTTTACCTAACCATCTATATCGCTTTCTTTCTCTTATTAGTTATTACCCCAATTGTGATGCGCGGAAGAGCCAGATGCGCGTTTCTCAGCATCCGGTGTGCGTTTCTACCACACAGCCATGTATAGGGGGGGAAACCTAATATACGACCGTTGCAATGAGTGTTTAGCGGTAGTATTTGCAATATGTATTTTTAGGAATGTATGATGCAAATATTAAAGTTTTTTTTTTTCAGTATTTATCGACTGACATAAAGAATAGAAAAAAAACGACAAATACCCTTTTTAGTTCTAAGGATCCCATGATCCTGAACCGATCTTACCTGAGATCGCAAATCCCAAGTTTGTCTATGAAGAGCAGATCTAATTAAATTAGTGTCTACTTAGATGCTTTCAGCAGTTATCCGCTCCGCACTTGGTTACCCAGCGTTTACCGTGGGCACGATAACTGGCACACCAGAGGTGCGTCCAGCAAATTTCACGATGTCCGCTTTAGTTCCTAGCAAATAAAAAGGACCATCGTGATCACTAAAAAATTCAAAATGGATCCATTTTAATCATTTTGAGAACTAATATCGACCTTTTTTTGAATTTGTGATCCTGGAATTTATTAACCAAAGAAATACGACTTTGTACTATCGTTAGCCCAGCACCAATAAAGAATCCCCAAGGAATGCCTAGAATTCTTGTTATAAGTCCGTTCCAAGCATCAACTCTTTTTTCTAGGTTCATCGATATTGAATTAATCGAATGCACTTCTAATACCTGTTCCACTCTTGGGAGACCTTGTGTTATATCACCCGATCTCGATTTTTCATATATAAACGTAACTAATATATCTCCTTTCGAAAGGATTTCTCCATAATGTCCGTGAACAATTGCGCCTGGAATCGTCTGAAATTCAAAATGGACTCATTTAGTTGAAATCGTGATCCCTCACAAATTTAAAAAAAACTCATATTAATCCTCAAAAAGACTAAAATGGATTTATTTTGAATTTTTTAGGGACCACGATGAATTTCTTTATTTGCTAGGGACTAAAATCGTGAAATTTGCTAACGACTAAAAAAATGTATTTACTCTGGTACAAATATGATTGGTACAAATATGATTGTTGTACATGGCACATAGCATTCAATGCAATAGTGGTAGGGAAGAAGTTCTCCATGTATAGGGTGCGGTCAATGAGTGCCTGACACATTATCAATTGGTGCGCGTTATCTAAAGGTGCACGTTTAGCTCCTCGTGACCACACTTGTAGCGAACGCGTCTTCCTGCTTTACAAGGAAAGTAGTTTGACAAAAGCTTATAATGTTTTGCGAAACGCACTATATCAATCAAAAAGCCTATTCATGAAGAAGGAATGAGGGAAATAATAACGAAAACAAAACCATGTGGTCCCGTACTCGCGCATTGCATGGCAATAATTATGGCATTTTCTTTTACTATTTATCTGCTTGTGCATTTGTCCCTGAGCTGTTCAATAAACGCACTACTACTTTAGCAAATACAGGAAAAATCTCTGGTTCTTCTCAGCAAAGTCTGTCTCGCATTAGGTGCTGCTATACTCCTTCTTTTAACTTCTTTCCATCATATCTATGCAATTGGTTCATGCCGTTTATTTATTGTTTTTCATTTACTTAAGTATAATTGACAGTATTTCCTTTCAGCTATTGTTTTTAATTGGTAGATGGCAAATCAGAACCGTAATCGTCTTGCAATTCACATTGAAGAGATACTGGACAAGGCAATATCTCCCCTTACAACTAAATGTTGCATCTATAGGGTTCCCCATGAAATTCGCAAATTAAATATTGATGCATACACTCCAAAGGTTGTTTCAATAGGCCCTTATCACCATGATAATCCCAAACTCAAAAATATGGAAGGCCACAAACTGAAATATTGCAAAGAATTCAGAGAACGAGTTCAGACAAGCTTAGACAATTTGGTCACTCTTGTACAAGAGTTAGAAACAGAGGTTCGTCTTTATTACTCTGACAACATTGAGCTTAGCAGTGAGGAACTTGTCAAACTGATATTGGTGGATTCCTGTTTTATATTTGAGCTTTTCTTTACTTCTAAGTCAACAGATGATGATGGTATCCCATTCAAAGGTTGGTTGAAAAGTAGTGTAGCATTTGATTTGCTTTTACTTGAGAATCAACTTCCTTTTGATGTTCTTGACAAGCTCTACAATCTAGCCTCTCCTTCGCCTAATTTCCCTTCATTTTTTGATCTCACTTATTATTATTTTAGGAAATGTGACTCACCTTATGGAGATTCTCCTCCTAGCATAAAACACTTCACAGATATGTTAAGAATCTTTTACTTACCACCACCTCCTTATAGACTACCTCCAAGGGAGGATGAACTACTAGCACACCTTTACAGCGCAACTGAATTAAACGAAGCAGGAATAAAGTTTAGGAAGGGAGGAAGCCACTTATTAGACTTAAGTTTTTCACACAGTTATCTTGAAATACCAAATTTAAATGTAGGGGATGATACTGAAATTTTTTTCCGGAATATGATTGCTTTGGAGCAATTCCACTACCTCAATGAATCCTACATCACTGATTATGTTAGATTCCTTGATTACCTCATCAACACAAGCAATGATGTGGATATTCTGATTAGAAAAGGAATAATCACTTGCATGTTAGGTGATAACAATGCGGTAGCTGAATTATTCAATGGTCTTGGCAAAAGTATTGCACGAAGGAAATTTAATTCTGATTATTTTGGTATTGCCAAGGAGTTGAAAGCATACTATGAGCATCCTTGGAACAATGCAAAGGCAACTTTGAGACGTGATTATTGCAGGACTCCATGGAAAATGGCTGCTTCCTTAGCTGCAATTGGTTTGCTTATCCTTACTGTTACTCAAACGGTATGTTCTGTCCTCCAAGTGCAGATGTCTTTGGGGCCATCGGTGAAGACACACCCATGATTCTGCTATTTGATTATTGTGAATTTCTTTGGCTGATATGTTGTTGCTTCCAAAGTGCTGAAATTGTACTCCTTTCTCATATTGTTATCAAAACATCATGTTTTATATGAAAAGTAGGTTGTTTAATTCCTTGTTTGTGTGTGTGTGTATATATATACACGTCGAGGTTGTGTATTTTTATATTAGTTCTCTTGTTAATTAAGATCAAATCTCATTTTCAAATGATTTTAAAGGGTGCATTCCCACATCATAGTGGTCAAAAAAGCTGAGCAGCGTCTTTCAACTTGAGTTGAGCAGGGGAGGTTTGTCAAGTGAGTCCCCCCACTCAAAAAGAAGAAATAAAAAGCCTTGAGAAAAGGCTTAAAATGTAAGAAAGAGAGAGAATAGCAATGAGTGTAAAGTGAGAGGAGTAGTGTGCTAACAACGAATTTCATTTCTGATGAAATTTTAATTTGTTGTTCTTGATGTCAAGGGTTAAGTTGTGGAATGGCTTGATCGTTGTTTTGGCTTTTCTTTTGATTGGGTTGTGATACTCATATTATGAGGTTTCTATCTCGCTGCGTATTTAATTTCCCACATGTTATTGGGTTGTTTATTGTGGTTCATTAGTGCTATCAGTAAGACTGATTGTATACCAATTAATTTATTAGTGGAAGTCTTTGCTGGATTTAGTCCCTTGTGTGGTTCATTTTTTAACCAAGAGATGATTTGGAAGTGCCTATTTATCTACACGGATAGGGGAAAATATTTTGCTTTTGCTTGGCCTTTGATGGTTATCTTAGTTTTCCCCATCATAAGTACCTTTGTTGAATGATTTTATTTTCATTCAATCTCTAGTTGCAGATCTTTACCTTGCCCTGTTGTTTGGATTAGTGGTTTCCTTGTAATAAGGTTTTGTTTGCAGGAGAGTTGGCAGCTAAAATGCATGTGAAAGTTCTGCAATTGATTTTAACCATTATTTAATTTTAAATGATATTTGATGTTGGGTTGGTTCATCCCATTATTATAATAAACCTGTAATTTAGCATCTTAGCAAGTTTGGTTAAATTCAATTTATGATATGTATAATTTGCCACATGTATTACTAAAGCTTTTGAACATTTTATTTGTTTAATATTTTCTCTTTTCCAGTTTACTTCATCTGAGAGTATAGTGATAGTCTAATAGTCTATTCAAAAGAATTAGGACCTGCACTGGAGTGTTAATAGCAGCTTGCTCAATATGACCTTTCTGATAGGTGTTAGCTTGGGCCATCAAAGGGAACCGCCGGGCTCGCCCTAGCAATGTGTAAACACAATGTAACAACTCATGAGCTTCTTTTTTACGCAGCTCTTGCCATTGCAGAACTTCATTTCTATCATTGTACCAAAGGTCAACTGTTTTCTTATCTTCTTTCACAGAAACCTGAGAGAAAAATACGTGACTTGTCTTCTGGACAATCAAAAGATATATCATGGGCATTTGTCAGCTACGTAAATCCCTCATAATTAGTAAAAGAATTCAGGGTACCTTCCAATCCTTGGAAAGCCCCACTGGAGTCTTCCCATATGCAATTGAGAAGTTAAGCATTTTAGCTTTTCTTCTTTCAGAACCGAAGGCATCCTAAAATGGAAAAATAAAATAAAATAAAATAATACAAAATAGAAAAAAAATGGCTCATGTTCAACTGGCCAAATTATGGAACAGATGGTTATAATAATGCTAAACTGCTAAAGCAAGCTTTCTATATCTTGTGGGAAGGGCATAACAAAACAAGCTTACCTATGCCTAGTGTATTCTGATTTACTTTTATTAATGTATATAAACATTATTAAACACATCCACAAACTCAATGATTTTTCATATATATATTTGGAAGCCATAAATAAACTGCAATCTCTCTACCGGGCCACCGGCCCTATCTCTATGTGCGATATTTTCCCTCTTAAGAGAGTATTCTAATGTGCATTAACTGTCCTTTTATTTCTATTGGAAAATTCATAAGTTCTGGGCCTTTGTTCGTCTTCTTGGTTTGCCATTCATCACACCATAAAGACAAAAATGAATACTACAAAAACGAAGCCTTTTAATATATCTTATTGTATTTGCAATTGATAGAACTATGCTCAATCTGAACAAAGTGATCCTCCTACATGCACTGCCAGCAACCTGGTGCTCACTATATCCGACGCTATCATTTAAAAGACAAAACAAACTAAAAGATAAACAGCTACTTAAAACACTTCATGAAAATATAAATTTTCAAATCCGAAATTAGTCCAATTTGCCTTCGCCGTCAATGATGCCTTATTATGGAGTTGCATTGGTTTTATAATAAAATATTCAATGAGGATTTGGCTTGGAGTTACTTTTATATAATGTTATTAAAATCGGTCCGGTCGAGGTATTGGGTCATTGGTTCAAACGTATGACCTGGTAATTATATGTAATTTTATAATTTATATTAAAAAATTATAAATATACTCAAATATCTAAAAAAAATGATAAAAATTTCAAATATTTTAATATAAAAAATAATGATTGACATATTATTATCCAATAAAAGATCAAATAAAAATATAATGATCGTGATACGAGATTTTAGGTTAAGAAAATGACATTTCTAACTATAAATCAAAATATAATGATTGACATTTCTAACTATTAGTGTTGTGAGTACATAACTTATGTAAGTCAATAAGCAAAAAAATATTCAAATATGTCCATTATAATTTTTTTTTGGGACCGGGCCGGTCTGGGTCACCGGTTAACCGACCGGGTCACCGGTTTTCATGAAAATCGGCCGGGTCGCACCGGTTCTGATGCATAACCGGTTCGTTGTTTCAACCAGACCAATTATATAATCGATTTACCGATTTTCGGGTCGACCCAACCGGTCGGTCCGGATTTCATATCACTGCTTTTATCATATTGGTTGGATACAAGTTTTACGGGACCCACAATAAAAAGAAAAAAAGAGAAAAGCTTGATAACGAAGTGTGTGCAAAAATTTGGTTTCTTATCCTGTATTATGGTTATATTATCCTTTCATTTACCGATCTAATGTTTGTAAATGTTAAGTAATTAAATTTAGGAGTATTAATTAATGTTATTTAATTTTATTTAAATGACACGTGTCACACACATGCTTTGAGTGTTTCAACAACCGCTATATAAATAGCTACGCAGTCCAACGATTTTGGCCACGTAAGACGCCACGTAGCCCAGCACTTTAGGCCACGTGACAAGGGTTGTCTGCCACATAATCTAGCTGCACTACGGAAATATTTAATAGGACCCAGGTCCATCTATGATTCAGTGGCCCAGCTAATGAAAAATAAGTATTTTCTGACTTGCTTACATGGAGGAGAGAAATTTTTTATTTTTTTCACCAAGTGACAGCTCCTTAATAGAAGGAGTAAGTGTGTCAGGACTACTGTAAATACTCTCTTGCACTACGCAGCTAATTATGTGGCTAATCCTAACTCGTCACGTGATAACTAGACTGATAACGTGATATTTTGATAAAAAATTTATGATTCTGATAATAATTTAGATAAACAATCACAATTTGATCGTTGTCCCTTCAATCAACATAGTTTAACAATACCAAAGAGAAGATAATTTTTCTGTGGGAAAGAATAGCTTCGTAAAGATGACCATGACTCTTAATTACCAAATATTCAACGACAGCAGGGGAAAAAAACAAAGATTAAGTAATGAAAGTCAGAAGACAAGAAAATAAAACTGTGCAAGTGGTACTGGTAGGCACATAAATAGATTGAAAAACCTACTCTGAATAAGGATTGAAATAGATTTTGCATGTTAACTCGTGATTCACGGCCCATTTTGACCTTGACTTGCAATTGGGTCACGACAGAAACTTGGCAGAAACTATTTTGCTATAAGAAATAACGAGGGAAAGGAGAAGCAATAACAAGCCTACCCTGATGTGGAACAAAACTTTGGTTCAAAGGAAAATTAATGGGAGTACCCACTTGGGTACTTTCGTTGCCCTAAAGTTTTGTTTTTCCATGTGACCATGCGGTACGTGCCATGTGTATTGCATGTCAATAACGATGGATTGGGATTTTCGCTCTTTCTTTTTTATTGACGTGACTTGACACTTAGTGTGGTACAAGAATTTTTTTTTTTTTTCCGAAAAAAAATTATTACCGAAATGTGATAGGAAAAATATTTCAGTTAGAGTATTACTAAAAAGTGTTTGGTAGAACAATTTTTTCCTGAAATTTTATGATTAAATTACTGAGTATGTATTTGATTGGTTATGAAATATTAGTGGGAATATGAGATTATTTTAAGAAAATAACTCCAAATATTTTTTTTTTCAAATATTATATTTTTTAATAATCACTCTTCACTCCTCTCATCTCTTCCACTTTCAATTCCGGACTCAACACTAACTAACCTCCGATACAAATTAAAGTTTCAACCTTTTTTCCTTTTACAGCTGCAATCTCCCCTCTTTGATCTCACTCCGAGCAGGAGAGACTAAGTTACATAGAGAGTTGTTAAAAAATTCCCCTTTTCAAGTTTATCATTTTCATTCAAATCCTTAAGGTATTTGAGCTCGGCCATGAAATTCAAGTTCTGGGTGTTTCTAAAAAACTTATTCTAATTTGTGGGTCGTTGGCAAAAACAAAAAAACACCTTTTTTCTCAGTTATTTATTGAGTTTGGGGACTCTGACTTTGTGTATTGTGAAGATTTTGAATTTACGCCTGAAAGTAGAAGTTCATTTGCTTAACCGTTCTGCAGATGTCGTTGTTGTTCGATTATACGAAACTGTTTAAAACAAAAAACAAAAATACAAAATAATTAGGACTTCCACCCTCCACAGATGCTACATGCATGGAGCAAAAAATTCAAGATACCATTAAACCTTGCCATGTGTAGACGGGTAAACCTCCAAGCAGCTAACAATGGAGTAGATCTTCTACCAAAAACATGCCAACAACTACACAGAGGGAGCCCTTGTTTTCAGACAGATCGTGCAAAGAGTAAGGTTACTTTCGTCAATATTTTCGCACTTCCCCGGGTACCAAAAAATTCCAATTAATCCATGGAACTATTGACCTCCTCTCTGTACAGAGTTATGCACACAAAAAGCATTTCTGGGAAATATATTCGTTCGGGAAACTTTTTCATTTTTGGATACCAAACATGGGGTTCTAACTTCTCCAAACATGATTTCCCGGGAAGGCTAAAATTTTCCGGCTACCAAACAGGCCCTTACACGCACTGTTTTAAAAATTAGCTGAGAGTCTCGGACTAATTAGGTGGACTCGAGTCACCGAGTCTACTCGAGTTTCGGTATCCGATGGATTTCTTGATTCGAGTAATTATTTGGACCCATTCTACAATCAATTCAATTTGGACCGATTGATCCAGTCAAGACTTGGCAACTCGGTGACCTTGGTCAGACAGATTGACCCTCTCTTTTTTTGGTAAATCTTTTTTTTTTTGCTAAAAACTCTTGAATTAAATCATACTCATATTTTGTGATAATATGATTAAAAAATAAGGTGAAAATAAAAAAGTATTTTAGATTAGTGCAGTTCATTTATGTAATTTAGTTGTATCTTATAATGATCTCAAAAAATTAAGTGGGGATAAATATTGATGATCTCATTTTAACGGCAGACACTTTTTTCTTAGTATATGTTTCATACCTACCATTTGTTATCATAATTTAGTTTATTTATATTTTGTCAAAACACAAAAAATATATTTAGCTTACATTATAATTTTAATCTAATATTAAGATATAGTCAAGAGTTAGAAATCTAGAAGTATATAATATTTATTATTATTAAGAACCAATTTAGTTTTTGCCGCTTATTGATAGTTTTTGCACATGATGTTTAGTCACAAAATGAAATAAAAGAAGTATGTATGG